AGAAGAAGAAGAAGAAGAAGAAGAAGAAGAAGAAGAAGAAGAAGAAGAAGAAGAAGAAGAAGAAGAAGAAGAAGATGGCCTCGTCTGAAGGCTGTAGGGTTGCCTTCCTTGAGGGTTCGACTCTGGCAAAGAGGAAATGCTAGAATGGTCCAGCCTGGAGGGTCAGTTGAGCTCTGGGCAGAGTGAGACTGTCTCCTTGGAGGGAGCTGAATGGTGGGATCCATAATGGCCAAAGGAAGCATTGATTCACAGAGACGGGGGTCCCTGCTACAAGGGGCAGGCCTTAAGGAGTAGCTTTGCGAGGGAGGCTGTTGGTGACTCCTACTGTCCACGGCAGCAGCAGGGGATAGTAGGGCTGCTCAGGAACACAAGCAGAAGTGGCACTGTGAGAAGGGGCCTTTGGTCTGGGCCCTGCCTGCACTGTTGCACGCGATCCCCTTCATCTGCCTCTTATTCTTCCCCCCTAAGCAATACTTCCATGCTGGAGGAAACGGCCTGAAGAAGACCTTTCTGGAGAAGAGCCCAGAGCTGCAGTCGCTGCGCTACGCCCTCTCGCTCTACACCCAGACCACCGACACCCTCATCAAGACCTTTGTCCAGACCCAGACGGCACAAGGTGCGGGTGGGGAGAGGAGGCCAGGCTGGGGTGCTGGGGAACAGCCTCCAGGGTTGGCTATGTCCGCGGAGCAGCTGAACCCCGGGAAGCGTTCGGAGGGAGGGGGCGCAGGCTGGGCTGCAGTGGGACCGTCTGGCCTCCGCTGCCCCACACGCAGGAGAGTCATGCCAGCCTCTCGCCAGATCCACCAGCTGCTCCTCCATTGAAGCACAGCTGGTGAGGGCCTGAGCCAAAGCTCCAAAGAGGAAATGGGGGGTCCAAGAGGATCTCCCCTGGCCCGCTGTGCCATGGCATAAAATGCTAGTGACCATTTTGGAATTGTGCTGTGTCTTTGAGGGGAAGAAATTGAGCACTATCGTGGAGCAGGATATGTCCTGAGGCCCCCCCTCCCTTCTTACAAAAGCCCCCTGCCCTCCCGGTTCTGCATGATGTCCCAGGCAAGAGTGCTCAGGGGCTGCAGCAGCCTCAGCCGCGGTCTAAGGGTGGCCTGGACTGACCTCCTTCCATTCCTGCCTCTAGTGGGACTCATCTCTGGCTGATGATAAACGGGTGGGTGGCCAAGAAGCAGCTTTGGGGAGCAGGGGGCACCCTAAAGAAGGCGCGAGAGCGTGGGTCTTCCAAACGCAACGCTGGGAAAATAGGGAACCTGGATGATCTTACCCTTGTGCGGGGGGCAGTTGGGGTCAGGGAGGAGGAAAACACCAACTGGGTGATTCTTGGTCGAGAGCCTCTCAGAAAAGTAGAGCTTAGCCACTGTGGGGGAGCCCAAGACCGTCCAGCTCAGCCCCACGCTCACTGCTTCTGGCAGGAGCAGCCTCCCACTCATCAACCCCACTTCAGGAAGGAGCCTTTGCTCCATATGGGGCTGCCCCTGTGAAAACAGCCCCTCCTGTCCTCCTGTCCGTGGTGGCTCTCTGGACCTGTGGCCAGCAATGCTCATTGCTCTTCCTCCTCCCAGGCTCGGGAGCAGAGGATCCTGTGGGTGAAGTGTCCATCCAGGTGGACCTGTACACTCACCCAGGCAGCGGGGAGCACAAGATCACAGTGAAAGGTACCCAAGTGCCCACACCAGGTGGCATCTCAGCATCTTTGCCTGCCAGGAAGGGCCTTGCCAGCAGCATGATGACTGGAGGGCAGGTGGAGCTCATGGGCTTCTCCCAGCCCAGAGAGTGCCCTTTGCCCGTGGCAAGGGCCACGGTTCCCCCCCTTCCATGTGGCATGGAGGAATGCATGGGGGCAGCACTGACCCAGGTGGGAGAGGCCTCACCCCTCTTCCCTTTGTTTCTTACAGTCGTGGCTGCCAATGATCTGAAGTGGCAAACCACTGGCATGTTTCGCCCCTTTGTGGAGGTCACCATGATTGGGCCACACCAAAGTGACAAGAAACGGAGATTTGCCACCAAATCCAAGAGCAACAACTGGGCTCCGAAGTACAATGAAACATTTCACTTGTAAGTCCTCTGGCCGCCTTCCTCGCTCTCCTGAAGGGGCCTTTGCTTCCTGTGTCCTTGGTTGCTGGGTCCATCCCTGTGGGGTGACCCGCAGTTTGCCCGGTCTCCTCGTTCATTCAGTGCCCTGACCTTTCCAGCTAAGCACAGCGTGTGCGTGTCTGCTCTGGACATTCAGCCTGCGTCCCTTCTTTCGGTCACACAGATTTCATGTGGGATCTCTTTCCTCCTGACTTGTGAGCAGGTTCTCCTTCCACAGTAATTATCGAAAGAAGGCAGCCAAAAGAGGGGCAGGAGGGACGAGGGACCCGGCTAGAAGCTGTGTTCAGAGGGGGCAGGAGCGAGCCAGCTCCCCTGCCCGCCTGCTCCTCAGCCCATGTTCTCTCCCTCCCCCCCAGCATCCTGGGCAACGAGGACGGGCCAGATGCCTACGAGCTGCAGGTCTGCCTGAAGGACTACTGCTTTGCCCGCGAGGACCGGGTCCTGGGCATTGCTGTGATGCAACTCAGGGACGTTGCAGAGAAGGGGAGCTGTGCTTGCTGGTGCCCCCTGGGGCGAAGGGTCCACATGGACGAAACGGGGCTTACCATTCTGAGGATTCTCTCGCAAAGAACCAACGATGAAGTGGCCAAGGAATTTGTCAAGCTGAAGTCAGAGTCCCGCTCCCCGGAAGAAGGGAGATGATCCCATCTCACACTTCTTGGACGAGACACGCGGAGGAGCGCCCCCTCCCCCTTGGGATCCCAGGAGGAGTTTTCTTGCTAGGGGGAGTCTTTGGGGCGGACCAGGCCTGCTCGCCCAAGGATTCCTCCAGTGGGCCTTCTGGGTTCAGCAGGCGTGCCCAAGGAGCCAGAGCAAAGTGCCCCTGCCAGGGAGGGGCAGGCAACCGAATCCTAGGCTGCGGGAGGAAGAGCCAGCCGCATGTTTCAGGCTGGCAGGGTGCCCCCTCCCTCCACTCAGGCCAGCCCTTGCGAGCCCAAGCAGAGGGCGGCTGCAGCAGCTCCAGCCCGGCCGAGCTTCAACCAGGGCAGTGCAGGAACCCTCGAGTAGAAGTCTGGAAACGGAGCTTGCCTGGAGAGGCTTCTCTGTCGCCAGTGGAAGAAGCCCCGTTCTGGCCCTGCCTGTGCAATGGGGCCCCTTGTTCTTTCCAGAGAGCTGCTTCGCCCCGGGGTGCAAGGAGGGAGGAGCTTTGCCTGGTGCAAGCAGCCCCTCGAGAAGAGCCCCGCTGCTGGCTCCAGTCCTCTGCGCGCGGGTGAGGAGGGGTCTGGATTTCTATTTTCCTTCTGACATTGTACAGCTTTCTGGTATGAACCTGGTCTTTCTCAGAACGCTTTTAGATGCTGCTTAGCTGTTGTGGACGAGTGTAATACAAAAACGCTGTTGCCAATTTTTAATCCCATTGAATGTGCCACTGTTGCAGGGAGTGGTCAGTGTAGCCTTTAATAAAGGAACGTTAGCAGCATTCACTGCCTGCTGCCTTTTCAGGGCTGGCCCACCTGCCGCAGGCGAGCGTGTGGGACGCCGCGTTCATTGGAGGGGTTTCTGAAATCGTCCCAAAGCCTTTTGGCCCGGAAGCTGCAGAGAGACTGTGCGTGTGGGGATGGGGGGATGTATTTCAGTTTGCACACGCTGAAGACCGCTGCTGTGTTTCTTGTCCACCAGTCTGTGGGCCAGAACGCACCGTCCACATGCTGAGCGCAGCATCTTCAGCACAAAGCTGAAGGCCTCGGAGGTCCGATTGGCCCAGGTCCTGATCCCAGGCACTCCTGGCCCCCCATCTGGAAGCGGGCCTCGTGCCAGAGCTAATGCGGGGTGCCAGTGAGCCAGGAAGCAGCTGTGGGCTTGAGTGAGTCCAGTTCCCGGATGGTCTGGAAGCGTTGGGGATTTTGCCCTCCTGGGGCCACCTCTTTGAAGTAGGTGGTGAAGGTACAAATCCAGGAATCAGCTGGCAGTTTCTGACCCACCCCACGAATACGGGCCGGGCCACGCTTTGCGTTAAATCGGAGCGCAGTGAGAGCAGAAGACCAGCCCAGATGGTGCCGGATGAACTGCCTGGGTTGTGTGGGGCTCCGGGAGAAACCAAGGGAGCCAGGCACCCCGCTCTGGGTGTCTTTGTGGCCCCTGAAGGGTTTGTGGGTCAAACCTGGACACAAATGAGGGTTGGTTGGTTTGTTTGTTTGAAACATTCCAACCCAGCAATACAAACAATATATACTACTATTAAAAACAAACAAAAAACCAAAACAGAAAAACCTGGTACCACAGCCCATCCCATTCTCATCCTGCTCTGAACTCACCCTGTCCTGGCACCTGGAGGTTGCCACTAAGGAGCTCTATTGCTCAAAGTGTGCCAGAGTCTGTTGGCATCAGTGCCCCCACCCAGCAAGGTTAATTTAATAACATTCTTCCCCAAATCAGGCTGCATTTGGGATGTGAGAAGGCTGACTCTTCACACAGAGCATCTTGGCCACCTCTGTTCTTCATGCCACTGGCACCTGATGTGAAGGGAGCGGTGCTTTTATGTGGGCAGTGCCAGGAACAGTGCCAGGCACAGGAAATTGCATCTGATTACTCCCTCTGCCCAGGTGCCACTCAGATGGACTGCTGGCCTCATCACAGTTTTCCTGCATTTGATGGAGACAGTGTGGCTCTAATGGGCTCATATGTGCCACGTTCCTTCAGAGCTGAATGCACGTCTGTGTTTCAAGAGAAGGGTGACTTTGGAAGGAAATCTGGAAAACACGCAGTACTACAAGAGGAAAGGCCTATCTTAAGCCACTGGCCAACTGGGTTATTTAATGGACTCTTCAGTGCCACCATCTTCATCTCCTGGGCCAGGTCATGGGTCGACCGTCCCTCCTCCAGCCCCTGATCTGTGGGGGTAGTTTCACAGCCTCTTTGGTCCTTCTTAGGTTCCAACACTTGCTCTGCAAACAGAGGTGGGAGTTTTCCCCGGCACAATTCAAGCTCCTTCTGCAAAGCAGGAAGCAGGGGATGCCAGGGAAGGAGAGGTGTGGGCCCACAGGCCGTTTTGTTTGATGAAGTCACAGAGGGGCACAGCAGGTCGCTCTGAAACGTGGTTAGCCATCTTGGCCTTTTTCAGGTTACTTCCCGACTGCAGAGACCTTCCCCCTTTCTTTCCAGACCAAGGAGACATAGTGTTGCTTTTTTCTTTTTTAAAAAGATAACTGTACCCCACCTGTGAACATTGTGGACACACAAACAGTGGCTTCCAGAAATTATACAGCACTTAAAAAAGAAGAAACAGTGCCTAAACCCAAAGGTGCAGTGTTGATGTGATTAGCTTCTCTGGGGAGGGGATGTTGCTACAGAGAGGCCCCCTTTGTCCACCCCAATGAACGTGGAGCATGGGGAGAGGGGTTTCCACCGCCCAGTTGATTCATCTCTAGGCAGGTGTTCTGGCCAATCCATCAAAGCCAAATGAAATCTCACCCAGTGACTCCGGTGCCTGCAAAGGGGGCTTTCTTGGGGTTCAGCCTTGGTGTGCTCATGCAAGCAGCCTGGGTTTAGTGCCTCCGGGGGGGACTCTGATTTTGCTGGAGCTCCTACCCAGGAAAAGCTGGGAGCCCCGTTTGGATGGGTGGGTGGAAACTTTTCTCCACTCCTTCCCTCATCCGTTCCAGTTATAGGAGGCCAGCCGTTCCTCCAGGCCAGCAAATGGCAGCAAGACCTCAAGGCAGGGCCGCTCGGAGAATGCCAAGGTGTCCTCGCTTCCACAGGTTCCTCCTCCTCCCAGGAGACGCCCATCCTTTGGCCTCCACAGTTAACTCAAGATCACAGGTAAGTCAAGTCCTGTCTCTGGGGCGGTGGCAGAGAGGAAGAAGGGAATACTTTGTAATTCTCTTCTTCACAGCAGGCCAGGGGCATCTGGCACAGTCACCTGAGCTGTGGGATCTCTCACATCAGAGCCATGGAGCAGAGGAGGCAGCTCTACGGCCAGGTGGGGCTCTCTGGGCCCTTGCAGAGACGGCCGGCAGAGTCTAAAACAGGCCAAGTCCCGCAACTTCTCCAGCCTCAGATGGCTCCAGAGTTCTTTGGTTTGGCCCTGCTGCCAAGGACCAACCCAACATTTTTCTCTCTCCACAGCCAGGTCAGCTTAGGAAGAATGACCAGGACTGTGCCATGGTCTCCATGACGAAGGTAGAACCAAACCATTATGTCTGGGGATCGGAGAAATCCTGGTGCCCCAGCGGGGAGAAGTCTCAAGAGTCAGCTGGCATTTTGCACTCCTACGATCCTGCATTTGGTCTCTGTTGGGCAGCTGAGCCAGGATTTTTTTCCAGTTTGGCAGCCATGATCTGGAGATAGTTTGAGGCAGACAACTTTCTGAGGATGGGTACATCTTGAAGGAGATAAATTAGCAAAATACATTTACTAAAAATGTAAGGTGCCCCCTCCACTGACTTTATGGAGGGGAATTTTATGGGAATTAAGCCACATCCCTTTGCAAATCCGGATCTACTTCCAGATCACTATGTCTCTCAAAGAGATGAGAATTCCACTAGCACTTGGTAAAGCAGCCATGGAGGCCTTGGAAAACACACACAAATGCTGTGATGTGTCTCTACCTACAAAGGTCAGAATCATGCAAGCCGTGGTATTCCCTGTGACACTCTACAGAACTGAAAGTTGGACTTTGAAGAAGCAAGGTATTATTCATGCTTTTGAACTTTGGTGTTAGAGAAGGTGAGAATACCACGGACAGCCAAGAAAACAAACCGATGGATCATCGAACAAATCAACCCAGAGTTCTCACTCGAGGCACAAATGACCAGACTCCAATTTTCCTACTTTGGACACATTATGCGGTGACCCAGCTCTCTGGAGAAGGCTCTAATGCTGGAAAAGGTGGAAGGAAAGAGAAGAGGAGGACCACCAGCAGCCAGGGGGACGGACCCAGGAGGAGTGGTGATGGGGGCACTGTTGGAAGATCCGAAGGACCAGGTTGGGGACAGATTGTCATGGAGAAAATCTATCTATGTGGTCACTTAGAGTTGACAATGACTTGATGGCACATAATCAATAATCAGACTGAGTCTAGAGCAGATCATGAAGAAACTGGCAAGAACATAAATATATTGATCTTTAAGGGTCTTGAGAAGAATACATAACTAACAGAAGTCAAGAACAAATCCTGCCAGATTAACCTTATCTCACTTTTTTTATCAAGTTGCTTCCTTTATTATAGATTATGGGAATGCTGTAGACGTAGTATACTTTGACTTTGGTAAAACATTTGATAAAGAATCACACGACGTGCTGATTAACAAAGCAGATAAGCGTGTGCTGGATTGCTTGACAAGAGGGTAGACAGCTGGGTTGAAAATTATATTCTAAGAGTGCTTCTCAATGGTTATTCATCAGACTGGAGGAAGATAGCCAATGGGGTGCTATAGGGCTCCTCTACTTTTCAGTATTTTAACTAATGGCTCAGAGGAAGAGATGGAGGGAACGCTTTTCAAATATGCAGATGCAATATTGGGTGGGAAAGCAAATCTACCTTAGAAGGCAGAAATAACATTTGAACCATCTTGATAAGGTATGTTGGAGAAACAGGTTGCAAGCAACTGAAATTCAGCAGAGGCAAGCGCAACGTTTTTCATTAGGAGAAGTAAAACGCATAGGCAGAGGATGAGAGATACAATTAAATTAAAAAATAAATACTTGGCTTGGAAGTGATATTTGTGAACAGTAATCTTTGAACAACAGTTAAGGGCAAACTGAATATGACCCAGCAGTATAATGTGGCTGCAAAAAAAAAAAATGTTACGCTCCGTCTATTGCAGCAACACTTTCAAATCACGGGTCGCCCTTGTTCTCCTCTCTTCTGCTTTGGTTAGAGCCCACCGCAAGTATCCTGCCCAGCTCTGAGCACGACGGAGGATTTGGAAGAACTGGGAGGGGTTCAGAAAAGGGCAACGAGAGCAATCTAAGTCCTGGGCTGGTTTGTGGTCAGTCACACCACGGCCAGGTCTACTGTGGCTCAGCTGCTTGGCCACTTTGTCGGGTGAGTGTTATCATCTAAGAAACAGCTGATGAAAACCCTTAAGCTGCCGGCCCATCTCCGATCACCTTGAAGGGATGCAGTCTGTTGTAGGTGTTGCCACTGTGGATCTTCAGTTGGCTTTGAGGGGGACTGGAACTAAGGGTGTGTAGATCTCCAGTATTAGGTGGTACTTCTGCATCTTTGATGGCCTTTACTGGCTACCCTTAAACCTTCATGAGATGAGGTGCCCTTGCAGAACTGAAGCATCACGCTTACGTACACTCTTCAACCCCTAGATGAAAATGACCCTGCTTTCCTACCGTTTAAAAATCGAAAGTTATTCCCATCCCCTCATTGTTTTTCATGTTTTTCAGTTAATGTGAGACAGGAATATGCCTCCCACATGAACATGGACATTTCCTGCTCAGCTTCATAAGGCCAAAAAGATAATTTTCCAGTTCTGTTATGTGTTTTTAAGGTGGGCCAACCGGAATACTGTATGAATTGGGACAAAGAGTGCCTTAGAGTCACCTTGCTCAGAGGAAGCTCTGTGAATATCAGGCTCCCGTTTAGGTGGCCTAACGTTGTCTTTCTTCCCCCGAGGAAGGTTCTTGTTCGCTTCACTTAGTAGGAGATGCTCTAGGGAATACATGTCATAGTATAGGTAGTCCTCGATGAATGACGGCAATTGGGACCAGAATTTCCATCTTTAAGTGATGTGGTTGTAAAGCGCAACATCACGTGACTGTGCCACTTAGCAACAGCAGTTACGGCACTTCTGATTGCTGCTGTTAAGCGAATCCCGTGCTGTAATTAAGTGCGACATCACATGGTTGCCATTCGCAACTCCTGCCATCTTCCCCATTGACTTTGCTTGTCTGAAGCTGACGCTGAAGGTCATAAATGGCAACCTTTGAGGACCGTTCGTAAGTACCACTCGTTCAGTGCTGTCTTAAGTTCAAACAGCCACTGAACAAGTGGTCATTAAGTGAGGAGCATCTGTAAATGGCAGCTTCTGGGGAGGAGAAAGGGAAAGCATACGAGATCTTGGAAGATTCATTCAAACAAGAGAGAAGATTCAGGCGCCCAGCAGGACCATCACCCCATCAAGCATGTTGCATGTTCTGACACCAGCTGGAGTCCAGATCCAACGTGCTGCTTCCAAAGAGTCCTTTAATTTCTGTGCAGCTTGAACAAGGTTGATGGTTCCGTCTCTTCAACTTATTGACTGTCCTCGTCTGAGACGTGATTAGTTACAGTGATTTCCTGCAATCTCTAACGAGGATCTCCTGACAGTCACCAGCAAATGTGTTCTGAGGCACTCTGCAGGCTGGGCTACATCTTGACCAACGCAGAATGATCCCACTGCAGTCTCTGCTGAGGAAGCCGCCGTGGCCAATGTGCTCGGGTGCCCCGAGAGCTGCAGAGGAGCCCAGGCAGCTGCAGGTGCTTTCCCTACAAGCCAGCCGCAGCCCGAATGAAGAAGCCGGTAGCGGCCTCCTTTCCTCTGCCATGGGATGTTGCTGGAGAGGCCAGTCCCCACCCAGCCAGCTTGGGTCAGCCACGTGACCAGCAGGACAGCTGCAGGGAGGGTGGCTCTCCTGGGTGTCTTGCAATCAGCCTTTCCCCCTTGTGGCTTCCCACCCTGCTGGGGGTGTCTGGCTGAGTCCATGTGGGCCTGCTTCCTTCTGCACACGCTGGCCACTAACTCACCCAAGTAACAGACCTGCTGTCAGCGTGATATTCCAGGTACTGCACGCCCCCCCTCCACTGCAGGCCCACAGCCTCAGCAACACCCCCCCCCCATCAGATGCTCTCCTCCCCCTCTAAAGCTCCAGCTTCCTCTCCTTGCCTGCACCGTCTGCTGCCTGGCTGCTGCGTGTTGCTGCTGCACCCAGCTGGGTTCCGGTTGCTCCAGGCCAGCGAACTTGAGCACAGGAGGGGCGTGTGAAGAGGACCGTCTGGCACAGTCCTTTCAGTTGCTGGACCCCTTGGCGTGTGAGAGCGTCATTTGCCAGGGGCAGCGAAGACCCGATCTGGAATGAGCCACTGGGGCTCTCCCCCCGCTTCTTTCAGAACTGGCTTGGAAGTTGCTCGCAGCAGGCACCCCTCACTCTTAGGGGGCGGGAGATTAGCCCCCT